TGACTTTCAGTAGGGATATCAGGGTTTGCTGATGACAAATTAACTTGGGGCTGATAAATTTGATGTACCAAGCGGGTGAGTGACACCTGAGGTCTTGTTGTAAATAGCGAAGAATGCTACCGGGGGGCGGGCTGGAGACCACTCAGAAGTACAATGTTCACAAAGCTGGCTTAATTTATGACAGAAGGGTCGGATGTCAGGTTTTCTGAGAATAACTTTTCAGATAAACAACTTTATAAAGCTGCCCTCGTCATACAAGAGAAACTTCATTTATCACTGATTTACAAGTAACTTTGATCCTATTGCTTTTGCCATAAAGCTCGTTGAAAATCTTTCCCGGCATTTTTAAGAGGTTTGGGGCCCTGTTACATGGGATTACATGCCTAGGTCTCTCTCCCCAAGTAACATCCCCAGGAGCTCTGTGTCCCTGAACCTCTTTGTTAACGACGAGGCAGGACCGCAAAGAACAATGATCCGCGCATCTGCTAGATCTTCTCCAGCCCTTTTCTACCAGGTGGAGTTCTCCCACCGCCATCCAACTAACTTTCTGCCCCTCTGGCGTCCCCCCCACACAGGGAAAACAGCCTTTGCCACTTACACAAAGCTGGACAGAGATCCATTTCAACTAACCGTTGCCGAAAGGTGGCGCTGTTGAGGTAAAAACCAACTCGCTCCGACAATAGTTTGTCTTCAATCCTTTTGCAGGCTTTTCGGATTTTTTTTTTTGTACCCCGCCTATAGTAGCCAACCTCCCCCCCTCCGACACACACACACAGTTAAAATAAATACGATTTACATAAAAAATGTTTCATTAATTGAAGGAATCAGTAGTCCCAACTCGCAAGCAGGTGAGCCTGTCTTCCAAAAGTAGGTTTGCCTTCAGACAACCTTGCTTTTTCCCTAAATAAATCACGCTCCTCCGACTTGCCTATCGCTTTAAAATCTTAGAAAAAGAGTTGTTGGTTTCTTACTCGGTTTTCCTTTGCTTCGTCCCCCTCCACCCCATATTTTTGCACAGCTTTAAAACTATCTAGAAAATTGAACTAGTTATTAGCATTTGCCACAGAGTGGTGGGGGTAGCAGCACCCCACCCCCACTCTGGGTTTCCGGACTTGTCCAGAGAAAAAGCGGTTGAAAATTTAACCCTTCGAGGGGAGCTAGGCCTGGCTCTGGAGTGTTGTTTTTACCCTCCAAGATCAAGCCCCAAATAATTAAGCGAGAAAGACGTGCAAAGGGCGCTCCCAGACCCTGATAAAGAGGGTTCAGATTTCATAATGATGAGGGTGGTAGGGGGTGTGACTGAGGGGGGGAAAGAGAGGCAGCGAAGGAGAGAGAGAGAGAGAGAGAGAGAGAGAGAGAGAGAGAGAGAGAGA